GAGGGGATTGGCGAGGAAGAAGTGCCGGCAGCCATAGCTGACCGGGGAGTTGACCAAGAGGGTTGACTGGAAGTGTTGACCGGAGTTGACCGGGGTTGACCAAGGGTCATAGCAGCGTTGACCGGTGTTGACCAAGGCCGTTGACCAAGGCGTTGACCAAGACTTTGAGCAAGCTGGAGTTGGTAACATCTCGCCAAGTCCTTAGCCTACCCCTTGCCCTATGGATGTGCACATACCCCTTGGTACTTGCTGAGTACAGTCTGTCTGTTTATTCCTTCTGCATTGAGTCTCTTTTGTCCTAGGTCATAGAACACTGTGGATGAAGGATAGGGCCTTGCTGCCAAACCTGCACGGGACTTAGTAGGACYAATCTCTACTCTGGTATCTGGAGACCTGGGCATGAGCGGCGAGCGCTCGTTAAACAACTCGTCTAGCCCAATGACCGGTACTGTCCGACAGGTCTGCTCAATTTCAGTGTAGAGGGTCCAAACTTCGAGCTGCAGGCTGAAACGGAGGCCGTCTTTAAGTGTTGAGGGCCTGTTGGAACCACTCCCCTACCAGACCAAGTAAGGCTGATGATCTGTGTCTGACGACTTGACTGTCGCGAGGGATACGAACCCTCCCAAGGACCGGTACAGACCGGCGGGCTGCTCGGTGTGGCACAGTAGGCCGGAAAGGCTGAGTTGTGGGCTGAAAGCACAGGCAGAGCCAAGCTGATCACGTCGTCCTGTCTGCGACGTTAAATAATTCTTGAGGAGTTACGGGGGATCTCCTTAAATGCCTCCTGATCAGCCACTGGTTCAGTAGTGACAGCCATAGTGACAGCCATAGTATAGGTCTAGGCTAGAGATCCTAGTTGGCAGGATCCCTGTTAGGATTCTGTGAGTCATTAGATTGAGTCAATAGGTTTGTTAGTCAGGGGTCAGAGTCTACGTGGTGAGGTTTGGAACCACTAACCCGGTTGTACACTTATCACCATGGTGGACYTGCGTAGTGGGAAGAGCACTAGCCCCTATACCGCYGAGCAGCAAGAAAAGATGGCCGCCTTAGCCAAAGAGAATAAGGAGAGGAAAGAGAGTGAGAAGCAGGCGAAGCTAAAGGCTATCGCAGACGAGCGGGCGACGAAGCTGAAGGAAGTGGAGGAGGAGATGAAAAAGAAGGAGAAGGCTGCTGAAGAAGAAGCGGCAGCAGAAGAGGCAAAAGAAATGATGAGGATTGAAAGCGGAGAAGGAAGTAGTGGCACGAAGAAGGACACAGACGCGGAGATTGAAAAGAAGATCAGCGAGTGGGATGCTAACTTATCGTTGGGGGAAGACGAAGAGGCGGAGTCATACGTGATTGAGGATGAGAAGGCCGCATTGGCCGCTGAGCTCCCTATGGAGCGAAGAGAGCGGGAAGACGAGCAAAAGTTGCAGTGGAAGCTGAGGATGAAGAGGGAGAAGAGGAGGATGAGAGAAGAGGTGAACAAGATGACCGCAACAGTGGCAAAAGTGCAGGAGTGTAGAGCGGAGGTATTGGCCCAGCCAGATGGTAAGGCCAAATGGGACAAAGTACTGGGCTACCTAGAAGTGTTGAGTAAGGCCTGGATGGAGGAGCGCCAGGCTAGTTGGAGTCAGGATGTAGCGTTGAGTGCCATGCGGTCAGGATTTAGAGAGTTTGCACGCGAGATCGTCACCCACATTGGGGGCGAAGTGAAACAGTTGAGGGACAACGTAGGGAAGTACTGCGAAGGYGCCATTGAGGGTGCCAAAGCCATAGCTGCTGCAGAGGGCGAAGGTAGACCCCGCAAAGAGCCTGTAAAGCTCAAGTTTCCAGACGCGTACGGGGGTAAGAAGGAGGAAAACTTTGACAACTGGGAGGC